ACTGGAGAGGGTTGCCATTTCCTTCTCCAATGCATGAAAGTGAAAAGTGGGATTTGCACTGGCAAGGGTACTGGAGTGGGTTGCCATTTCCTTCTCTGATTTTGCACTGGGGTGTAGCCTATTAACAATGTTGTGATAGTTTCAGGTGATCAGTGAAGGGACTCAGCCATCCATGTACATGTATGATAATGATATATTAATGTACATTCATCAGTCATAATGAATGCAGCACTCTAGTGAGGGATGTTGATAATGTATGTGAAGGAGTAGAAGATATCTGTACCTTCCTCTTAATTTTACTGTGAACCTAAAACTTCTGTTTAAAAAAAAATCTATTTTGGACTGGTGGTTCTTTAAGAGTCGATCTATCATTGCAGGAAACACAGGTTTGATCCCTGGTCTGGGAAGATTCCGCATGCCACAGGGCATCTAAGCCCATGTGTCACAACTACTCCATGCTGCAAGTCGTGAGCCACAGCAAGAGAAGTCACCGCAATGAAGAGCCTTCACGCCGAAACTACAGAGCAGCTCCTGCTCGTTACAACCAGAGAAAGCCTCTGAGCAGCAATGAAGGCCCAGTGAAGCCAAAAATTAAACAAAAAATTTTTGTGAGTCTATTTTAAAATATCAGAAGCCATTGCTTTTGACCTCTGCATATATTTTACAAACTTTCTGGCGGCAAGGTTAGAAGAATGGGTTGGTGAAATAATCCATGGAAGAGTATGTTTTTTGGATAAGGCAAGAAAGGAGTGATGGAAATGTAGCAGAGTTATCATGGGTGGAAGAATTTTAGTACTTTGCTGATGTGAAAGAATATTTCTCATGTAAATATAAGTGGTTAAAACTGCTTAAGATACCTCTTTAGGTTGGTTCACCATAGACAAAATGGTAAACTGTTTTGCTGTAATGTCCCAACTTCTCTGATTTTCTACCTCCAATTCCCTTCTTTCCTTTTTATTATTTTGCAAGCACAGCACCCTATATGAATGTTTTCAAATTTTCAGCACTTTAATCCACTAGAAGGAAAGGTCATGCGCTATAACACCTTTCTCCTATATATCTTCCTTTTCATCCCTTTTCTTCTGCAGCCCCTGGTCCTGCATTTTTCTCACTTGAATCTTTTTGTCCTCCCACCTCCATTATTTCCTTCATTTTTAGAAAAGAATGGAGAGAGATGAAGGGAAGGGACAAGCAAATCCTGTGAGAGAATTAGGTCAAATTAGGACAGTTAAAAAAAAATCAAATCAGCATATCCTAAATATAGGACACCCTGATCAATAAAAGGAATAGAAAATATTCATGTTATTAACATTTTTTACTTGACTCTGTTATCTAGCTACTCCCCTTACGTTAGCAAAAATGATGTAGGAAAATTTAAGGAAAATGGCAAAACTGAAAAATAGAAAAAAGATTTTGTGTATTTATTGCAATAGGTTTGCTTTCCCTCTTTTGGAATTCAAGTTTCTTGAAATCCAATGGATTTCTTTTCCTTTTGCTGTGAATACATACAGCATTTAGCTCTTTCTGGCTATCATTTCTTTGGACTAACTTCTCCAGAGCAATATGACCACATTTTGTCTTATTTTTTGTCTTTGTAAGTTCTTTTGATATAAAGGATTATACAACACCTTTCTCCATTAGGTTCTTTTACTAACCATTTAATCTATGTTATTCTTGTTTTCCCCAAAAGTCAGCATCTTGAGGTCTTTGAGTCTTAAGTATATTCTTATTACTTATGGTGTTTTTGTTTTTCCTGTTAGAAGGTCTAAGTAATATTTGCTCTGCATATTACATTGACCTGTCCTTCAAGATATATCTTAATTTCCTCTATTAAATTTTTAAATTTTCTCTAGTTATCTCCCATTCATGCACTACACAACTGCACACCTGTGGCTGGCTGAATAATGCCTTCCTCTCCCCCACAAATATGTTCACTTTCAGTTCCCCAGAATCTGTGAATATTACCTTACATGGCAACAGGAACTTTGCTGATGTGTTTAAAAAGAACCATGATGAGATGGAGAGACTATCCTGAGTTATGCAGGCAAGTTCAATGTGATCATAAGTCCTTATGGGTCCTTATGAGGACCAGAGGATCAGAATAGAGGAGGAGACGATGCAGCAATGGTAGTGGAGGGAGAGAAGGCAGTGTGAGGTGGGGTCATGAGCCAAGCAATGTGGCTACCCTCCAAAAACTAAAAAAGGTAAGAGAGAGGATTCTTTCTCAGAGCCTCCAGAAGTAAGTAGCCCTGCCAAAACCTTGATTTTTCGCCCACAAAGGCTTATTTTGGACATTTGACCTCCAGAATTGTAAGGTAATAAATTTGTGTTGAGTTAAGCTACCAAATCTGTGTTCATTTGTTACAACAGCAATAGGAAACCAATATGACATCATGATGTATTTTATATTCTTCTAGGTCTGTCCACATAATTTAGTACTTTCCCATCATGCTTTCTAATTCTACTATGTAAATGCTAGAATATAAATTCCTGGTAGACAGCAACAAGAATTTTTGCCTTTTTTTGTTGTTGTTTTTAAATAACACCCTACAGTGCCTAGTTCAATCTCAGGTACTCAGTTATTTTAAATGGATTATAACTTTGGTGCATAAAAGAGAATGGCCACTACCACTGGGGAAATTAAAGGTACTTCAAAAGATGTATATAACTCAATGAACTGTTTACTTCCGTGGTATCAAATTCCAACCTTTTTGTTTTAAGCTGTGTTACATGCAGTACTAAGTGCACAGTATTTGATTAATGGAGGCTGGAACACCGAGTGTCCTCAACAAGAACTACATGCATTGAGTTGAAACCTGTGGGGATAAAGAAGAAAAAGGAGAAAGAGAAAAGCAACGTGGGTCTGGCAGAAAGTCCTCCTTGTCATTTTTGTCACGCTAAGTAAAGTTAAAGTGCTTTAAAAGAACATTAATTCTTTTAAATGTTCTTTATAAAAAACATTTTAATGTTTAATTATTTTCATCTATTAAATGTAAATATCCAGTATTTAAAAACCCAAGTAATATGCTTAATACTGTGCTAAGAGATAAAGAATTTACAGATAACTCTTTGAACAAGGGTGTATTCCAAAATGTTTTAGTATCTGGTTAGGAGATAATACTGACAATCAGCTAAGGTTACCAGGATTTATGAAGTGCCATTCATGTAATTCAGACTTTGGAGATTACAGATACTTGGAATCTGGGGCTGGAGAATCAATACTTCATTCAGTAAATATTCATTTAGAACCTATTTGGTGCTCTGTGAATAAGTTTCTGTTTGGAGTTTGCAATGTGATACAGGAAGTCAACAGAAGCAACTAATACAAGAATGGATTAAGTGCTAAATAGCAGGAGGATGCTTCGTCGTTAGGAAAAGGTTATTAGTGTAATTCCTGAAAGCAAGTTGAAAGCCGAGGAGGAATTGTAAATGATTTTATAGTAGTTTATTATTTTGGCCAAGCCTTGAAAGATGAGTAAGACTTTGAAAATAATAAAATATTCCAATCATGAAAGGGCATAGTTTTGGGGAGTATTCTCAGATGAAACAAAGGACTTTTGAAAGACAGTGCATTACTTTATTATTCCTATTACTTTCCAAATGTTATTATTAACAAATAACCACAAACTCAAGGCAATACAAATTTATGTATTATCTTAGAGTTCTGTAGGTGAGCAGTCCAATACAGATCTCACTGGGGTAAAACTGAGACATGGCTGAGTTCCATTCTAGAGGCTCTAGTGGTGAATCCGCTTCCTTGTATTTTCCAGCTTCTAGAGGTCACCGAAATTCTGTTCAGTAACCCTCATCCTTTACTTTCGAAGCCAACGTTGCATCTCTCTAGTCATTCTTCATAGTCACATCTCCTTTCTAACTTTCTTCTTCTGCCTCCCTTTTCCAGGATTGAAGGCCCCTGTGATACCTCAGATCCACTCAATAACCTCTGGTAATCCATTTTACAGTCTCTGGGACTAGCAACCTTAATTACTCTTTTGTAGTGAAACAACATATTCAGAGGTTCTGGGGATGAAATCTGTGGACATCTTTGGTGAGGGTATGTTCTGCTTAACACAGGTAGTATGGAGCACCTAATCCTGAGAGGAGAGAAGGCCAAAAGAGGAAGCGGTGTGAATGCACTGATAAGGTAAATGGGGAGCAAGTTTCTGAGGCTTGACATAAATTCTCATTTTTTTTGAGAACAGATTTGCCTGTTGAATAGAAAATTGTTTGGTCAGGCGATTTGGGGGTGCAACACTAGCAGGCCACTATGACAGTTTAAGTGAGAGGGTCTAAAGTAAGGAGGTAATCATTTTATTGGTCTGAGGCAGCTTTTGCCTATTTCTGTTTTTCATAAAAATTCATGACATCATCCCATAGGATCTCAGTAAGTGCGGTTTACGGTAATTTGGCTCAATTTGTTCAGTAGATATTAATAGATGCTGCAAGCCAGGTCTTACATCGTTCACCTACAATCAACAAAAGGAGAGATGAATCTTGACAAATTCGTAGTTAGCAAGAGCTAAACGTGAATTTTTAATGCGTTCAAATTGCAACCGTTAAGGTATTTCCTTAATAAGGAGACAAAACTGAGAAGCTGCGACTGGCCTACTGATCAAAGTCCGACTGCTGGCCCAGGCTCAACATACAGCTCACTGGTCTTGGAGACCAACCTAGCCCCTTCCAGACACCGCCTCTTTCATCCCGCCCCCCGACCACCAGAGTCGGGGACTCGAGGCCGGCGGCTGCAGACTCACGTGACTCCCAGTCCCCACCCCATTAGCACTTCAGCTCGAACTCCTAGAAGCGCCGGGGGTGGGGGCGGATAAAAGGGTGTGGGGAAGGCCCGCGGTCACGTGCCCCGAGCCTGCCATCTTCCGCTTTCGTCACTTCCGGGTGCGACCGTCGCTTCTGTCCGGGTGGGCTCTGGACGCATTCGGTGCATCCTCACTGCGTCTGACAGTCTGTGCAACTGCCCCTTCCCTGTTCCCAGCGGGAGGGACATGAGTGTCCCTGGGCCGCCTTCCCCGGACGGGGTCCTGGCAGGGCCACCCGAAGGCCTGGAGGCCGGGGACCTGACGCCGGGTATGTGCTATTGGGCGGGGCGGGCGGTCTAACCCAAGTGGGTGGGTCACCGTGCTGCCCAGCGGGAGTAAGTTGCTTTCAGCAGCTGCTGACCCGAGACTCTGGCCGCGGCGCGGAATAAGGGGACCTTGCCCTGCCGGCCTTCCTACCCAGAGGAGGGGACGGGAAACGAGATCTTGTGGGTGGAGGCGGGGTGGGAAAAAATGGCGTTTGGGGGTGCTGTTGGTGAGGTTTGAAAGTGAAGCCATTCTGAATTTGCTTATTGACTCCAGCACACTGTTGGCTATTTGTTACAGGTTAGTAGTTGAAGATGGATTTGCCCGGATGATTGGTTTGTTATTCAGACAGCTGAGGTATCCGGTATTACTGACCACTCACTCATGAAATGCTTGTCTTGCTTGTTGACCTTATTGCATCCCCGTTTCTCCAGCAGTCTTTCTCAACCCGAATTCAAGGAAAGATTTAAACCTGAATGGCCTAAGGCATCTATTGAATGTAATGAATCGACTTGTTCTGCATCCATAATGGTACTATGTATGTGTATGTACCATCCTTGGGAGAATTGAGAAACAGTTTCTGTGGTCTGTGGTTCAGATGAGGAACCCTAGATAAGAAAGGCTGCAGGACTTTGGACGTGCCTTTACTTGTACTTCCTGTTCCAGAAATATAGAACTTACCCCGAAATAGTGCTCAGGTCTTTCTTGGTCATGCTTTTCCTCAGTGATCTCCCTCTTCACACCTTTAGAAGTTGCTTCTGTAAATATGACTTCCTTGTATGTAAATGCAGATTGGGTCTCTCTGCTGCTTGCTCCTACGTCTGCTTTCTGGATACTTTAACATGGTCATTTTGCACTAATCTTATCCTACAGTATGTACTTAAATAAAAGTAGATGTCTGATCCTATTAATGGTGCCAAGTCATGATCTCTTGAAACTCTGACATTATTCTTAACTCTTTTCTCCCACCCCTGTCTATTCCAGGGGATTCTACCCTACAAGTTCCTTCTCCCCTTTGTATTTTGACCCTTTAACAATCACAGTTGTAAGGCTAGTCCACCTCCAGTCTCTTATTCTTCCATCCCATCTATCACACTGTCACATCACTGCCCAAGATATAGGTCCTATCATGTCATTTACTTGCTTGGAAACCATAAATGGCTCCTTACTAAATTAAGGGCCAAACATTAGCTTGGCACTCAGGGGTCGTCATTGCCGGCCGCATAGCCTTAGAGCTCACTACTGAGTATGTCTCATGCTCCAGACACCCCAAATGAACCTCTCTTTCCAGAGCAATCCTATGCTTCTTCCTTGACTCATGTTGCATCCCTTTTTCTCCAGTCTTAGAATTCTTCCCCGTTTGGAGATAGCCCTTTGTAGGTTGTTGGTGGAAGTGTAAATTAGTGCCCTCTCTTAGGAAGGTAGTTTTCCAATGTCTGTTAAACAACAGACATTTATTCCTTGAAGTTCTGGAGGCTGTGAAGTCCAAGGTCTAGGTGTGAGCAAAATATGTTCCTGGTGAGGACCCTCTTCATATCTTGCAGATGGCTGCCTTCCACTGTGCCCTCACAGGGTGGAAGGAGAGAGTCCTGGTCTCTCTCCCTCTTATTTTAAGGCCAGTAATCCCATTATGGGGGCTCTACACTCATACCCCATCTAAACTTAATTATTTCCCAAAGACTCCCACCTCCAAGTGCCTTTACATTGGAGGTTAGGACGTCAATGTATACATTTTGGGGGAGGACACAAACATTCAGTCCATAACAGCAGGGAACTGGTTAAACAAAATATGGTAGAGTTGTATTATGTTAAAAACAATGGAGTAAATTCATATATGTTGATACAGATGATACCTGAGATGCATATTTATGAGAAAAGTTACGGTATAAGCAGTATTTCATTTGTGATAAAAACAGGGTTTAAGCCTGAGTTTGCAGAGACAATTTCTTGACGGCTATTTAAGAAAATTCCAGTGTGACTCTGTCTGGAGTTAAGAGAGCGAGAAGGCATATTTTTACTTTTCAGGTTATGCCCTCTTCTATTGTATTTTAAGTTTTTTACAATGAGTAACATTTAAAAAGAAAAAAGAAAGAAATGAAAATTCTATCCCATTCTTCAAGTTTCAGCTCAAATGCCCACACTTCCTTTAGAATTGTTGCCCAATATCCCTGATGAAAGTAATCTTTCTCTCATCCAGGGCACCTCTCACATTCTCTGATTCCCCTGTACTGAGCCCTTTCAGGGAAGGGGACTTGCCTAATTTATTGTAACCTCAAAAACTAGTGCATACAGTATACGTGCAGCAAAAGTTTCTTGTCTCCGACAATAAAGTACCTTGAACTTAGGGAATAAATGTGTGTAAAAAGGCAAGTAACTTAGACTCTTCCAAATACTAACCAGAAGTCTGGGTTGGGGGGCAGGGTAGTGTGTGAATTAAAATGTTTATATAGCATAAGGAAGGTGTATTGGTTGTTTTTCCTTACAGTTGAAATATTTTTATTTGTTTCTGCTTATCTGTGATACTTTCGTTTTCTGTGTATATATATATATATATATATACACACACACACACACATATGTGTGTGTGTATATATATATTTTTTTTAGTTCTCCCACTTTATTGCTACCACCCCCATCTCCCTCCACCCTCATGCACACATGCTCAGTCATGTAACCCCATGGACTGCAGCCCGCCAGGCTCCTCTGTCCATGGACTTTTCCAGGCAAGAATACTGGAGTGGGTTGCCATTTCCTTCTCCTGTTTTCTATATTTTTTTGAAGAGAGTTACTGCTGTTTGCACAATTTTGTAAAGAAGCCTTTAGCAGTGGCGTGAATTATCAGATATATTTTATTAGGTTCCCATTTGATGGTACAACAATGGCAATATCTGTACATACTTTACTTTTCCCATTACATTTTAATTTCGTTTGTGGAGTGCTTCAGTTTCTAGCTAGCTCTTGTTTTAATATTGCCTTGCAACCTAGGGGAACCAGTTCGTTCATGTGTTTCTCAGGATCCAAATAAAAACCATGCTATTTTATTTTGATCTCTAAAAGCTAATTTTGAATATATGACAGCATGTTGTTTTTCTCAGTCTTGCCAAAATTTAAATCTGTGGTAAAAACTATACTTGGAAAAGAGCTATAGACAGTGTATTATGGTAAACATATTCTGTATAATGACTTAATTTGATATTACAGATTATTACCAGATTATGATTAAAGAGAGGTATTTCGGAGTTTAATATTAGTTTTAAAATGCTGTGGACTACAGTTTTAATAATGTGACCATACACTTTTTTTTTCATTCTAGACCAGTGATTCTAAAATCTTAGAATTCATTGAACCCTATTTAGAAAATGTTTTGTATTTTTCTTGGTATGAGTAGTGATTGATGGGTATTCATTTAGACATTTTTGAATGCCTAGCACAGTGCTTACACTGTTATTATTAAAAGGAAGAATATGAATAAAATATTTCCTGGCATCATGTCTATATTTACACAGCGCTGATTACTATACACTATTTTCTATGATAAATTAAGGTACTGAATCTCAAGAAAGGAGAAATTCTTAGAAAATCTCTCTCCTGCTCTCTGACAGCTGACAAAACAACTGTCCTTTTACATGTAAGTAATATATCAGGCTCTTCCCTTGTAGTTCAGTCGGTAAAGAATTTGCCTGCAGTGCAGGAGACCCTGGTTTGATCCCTGGGTTGGGAAGATCCCCTGGAGAAGGAAATGGCAACCCACTGCAGTATCCTTGCCTGGAAAATCTCATGGACAGAGGAGCCTGGTGGGCTGCAGCCCATGGGGTCGCAGAGTCAGGCACGACTGAGCAACTAACACTTAACACTTAATATATCAGGCTGTCTGCAAAATAAATGTTCATCTGTTTCAATCCATCGAATTGAAAAAAAATATTTTTAGGCATTGCATTTAAAATATACAATATTTTACAAATATACAAATTATACAATTTGGAGAAGAATTTCTTGCTTCCATTCAGTGATTATTCCTTCCTTTTAGGCCTCAGACTCCTTTAATAATTCATTGAAAACTCTAAATCCTCTACCCTGAAAAATATATAAACATGGAAATTGCATGTGTTAATGTTCTTTTAATCTAAACATAACCTTGTGCTAGTAACTTAAAAATACTTTTTGAGTGCTCATAGCTTAATTTTTAGAGGCTTCTCAGAAGGTAAAAATAAAAAAAAAGAAGGTACTTATAGTATCCTATGTGTGTACCCTGAGCTCCACCGCCAGCCTCCTTCCCCCCATCCCTGCTATTCACTTATCCCTGTGTCAATTTAAAAGCTTCCTAAATTTGATTTTTTGCTTGGGGACAGGTTTAAGTGACACTTCTCCAGATGAAGGGTTAATAGAGGACTTGACCATAGAAGACAAAGCTGTGGAACAGCTGGCAGAAGGCTTGCTTTCTCACTACTTGCCAGATCTGCAGAGATCAAAACAAGCTCTCCAGGAACTCACGTGAGCTGATAAAATCCACTGACGCCCTCATCTCTCCTCTGGCGTAGTCATAATTTACTGTATAAGTAAAGTATATACTGTATTAGGGATAATGTTTTATAACATATAATACAATAGAGTATTTCTTTATCTTTTGTGATAGCAAGTGGACATGGAGTAATTAAATTACACATATGCTATACTGTAATTTAAATGTGAAAAGTGAGATGAACGCTGCTAGAGTATTTGGTCTCTTCTAAGAAGTATGCCTAAATCTTATCTAGGTGCTGGTTAGTTTTGGTTTCTCACCACTATTTTAGGAAAGTACTGTCTCTTGGGAATTTTGCAAATGGGTTTATACCTATTTCTGAGTAGAGTTGCAAAATTGTCGCCATGAGGGTCACATTTGTTTTCTATTGTTGGTTCACATGAGCTGCCAGAAATTTCTAATTACCCTTTTTTGAGATGACCCATTTCAGTCCTAGTTAATGGAATGGAGCTCTACTAGCTAACGAAAAGATTGGGGAATAAGCTGAGGGAGGAACAGGATAAGGGAGAGTGGAGCCCATAGTGTGTGATCAGAGTGTGAACCCAGAGTGAGATCAGTATGCAGAAATTACACTCTGACTTTATCAGTTCCCACCCAGAAACAAATACCTGAGTTTCTAATTCCTCTTGGGTTAGGACCTCTCTGGATTGCCCACACTGGCCTATTATTTCTTTTTTTGTGGTGGTCAACTTTAAACTGGCTATGAACAGCTGCTGCTGAAAGGCTTACTCTTTGAAAACTGATCTCACAGGGCAAAAGGAGAGGAGTAATCAACAACTGTGTCCATTTTGTAAATATTAGTAACTAATGTTACAATCCTTGGGCTTGAAGATGATAAATGAGTACAAAGATGATACTGTGTTCTGTTACGTGTGGTACCCTACTGCAGTTAAGGGAGTTTGTAACATTCTTAGTTTTCTGCTAGTTCCAAGTGAGATATTTTTTTATTCCTAGTGTGTGTTAATGTCTTGTATTTTAACACCAGTCAGTGTTTGTGGCAGAAAAGTCATAAAGATTTTGTGAGTGAGTTTGGATGATGTATGATAGACTGAAGGAGGATAAGCAACTCTGCAAGCAAAGCACATCTAGATAACACTTTATGTATAAAAAGCTGGGAATCAAGTAAATGGAAAGTATAATTGGTGAGGAGATTGGCTGAAATTTAGTGTTTGAATAGCCACATTTATCTTCTTAGGTAACTGGACAATGATGATGAGGATGATAGTAATTTCAGCTACTATTTCTAACAATTGAATATGATAAATAAAGTTAGTAAACTTCTTAAGTGTTAAGGAAAGATAAGCAATCAACATGGCAGCAAATTTGGAAAATTCGGCAGTGGCCACAGGACTGGGAAAAGGTCTGTTTTCATTCCAATCCCAAAGAAAGGCAATGCCAAAGAATGCTCAAGCTACTGCACAATTGCACTCATCTCACACGCTAGCAAAGTAATGCTCAAAATTCTCCAAGCCAGGCTTCAATGGTACGTGAACCATGAACTTCCAGATGCTCAAGCTGGATAGAAAAGGCAGAGAAACCAGAGATCAAATTGCCAACATCCGCTGGATCATCAAAAAAGCAAGCGCGATCCAGAAAAACATCTACTTCTGCTTTATTGACTACGCCAAAGCCTTGGACTGTGTAGATCACAACAAACTGTGGAAAATTCTGAAAGAGATGGGAATGGCAGACCACCTGACCTGCCTCCTGAGAAATGTGTATGCAGGTCAAGAAGCAACGGTTAGAACTGGACATGGAACAAAAGACTGATTCTGAATTGGGAAAGGAGTATATCAAGGCTGTATATTGTCACCCTGCTTATTTAACTTATATACAGAGTACATCATGAGAAATGCTGGGCTGGATGAATCAAACTGGAATCAAGATTGCTGGGAGAAATATCAGTAACCTCAGATATGCAGATGACATCACACTTATGGCAGAAAGCGAAGAACTAAAGAACCTCTTGAAGAAAGTGAAAGAGGAGAGTGAAAAAGCTTGCTTAAAACTCAGCATTCAGAAAACTAAGATCATGGCATCTGGTCCCATCACTTCATGGAAAATAGATGGGGAAACAATGGAAGCAGTGAGAGACTTTATTTTTTTGGGCTTCAAAATCACTGCAGATGATAATTGGAGCCATGAAATTAAAAGATGCTTGCTCCTTGGAAGAAAAACTATGACCAACCTACACAGCATATTAAAAGCAGAGACATTACTTTGCTGACAAAGGTCCGTCTAGTCAAAGCTATGGGTTTTCCAGTAGTCATGTATAGATGTGAGAGTTGGATTATAAAGAAAGCTGAGCACCGAAGAATTGGTGCTTTTGAACTGTGGTGTTGGAGAAGACTCTTGAGAGTCTCTTGGACTTCAAGGATATCAAACCAGTCAATCCTAAAGGAAATCAGTCCTAAATATTTATTGGAACATTCATTGGAAACTGATGTTGAAGCTGAAACACCAATACTTTGGCCACTTGATATGAGGAACTAACTCATTGGAAAAGACCCTGATGCTGGGAAAGATTGAAGGTGGGAGGAGAAGGGGATGACAGAGGATGAGATGGTTGGATGGCATCACCGACTTGATGGACATGAATTTGAGTAAGCTCCAGGAGTTGGTGATGGACAGGGAATCCTGTGGTGCTGCAGTCCTTGGAGTCTCAAAGAGTTGTACACGACTGAGCTACTGAACTGAACTGAACTGAATTGAGCTGAAGCAAACTTCAGAGAAAGAAAAAAGAAATATATGGGTCAAGTTAAGAGCTTTCTAGACTGTCCCATTGATCAGTGTTTCTGTTCTTTCAGTAATACCATGCTATCTTGATTTTTGTAGTTTCTGTAATGAAATTTGAAATTTAGTAATGTAAGTAATATAAGTCTTCCAGTTTTATTTTTCTTCTGTATGTCTTGGCTAGTCTGGGTCTTTGGCTTTCCATGTGAATTTTAGAATTAGTTTGTTGGCATCTACAAAATAACTTGCTGGGATTTAGATTGAGATTGCATTGACCCTATGGATCAATTTGGGAAGAATTGATATCTTAGCATGTTGAGTTTTTTATTCCATGTACTTAGAATATCTCTTCCATATTTAGATCTCATTTATTTCTTTCATTAGAATTTAATAGTTTTTGCATATAGAGCCTGTACGTGTTTTGTTAGATTTATACCAAAGTATATTTTATCTGACAGGGATTATTGTCAGTGGTATTGATTTTTTATTCTAATTATGCATTGCTGGTGTGTATGAAAGCAGCTGACTTTTGTATATTAACTTTGTATTCTGAAACCTTGCTGTATTCATGTTTTCCTTCCTGGTTTTCTTTTGTTGTTGTTGATTCTTTGGGATTTTCCACATAGGCAATCATGTTTTCTATGAATAAAGACAGTTTTATTTCTTCCTTTCTAATTGTATACTTTTTATTTCCTTTTCTTGTCTTACTGCATTAGGACTTCCAATACAATGTTGCCTAGGATTACTGAGAGTGGACATCCTTTTGCTCCTGATCTTTAGGTGGAAAGTATCTAGTTTCTTAGTAGATGCTGTGGCTATTTATTTTTAAGAAATTCTTTATCAAGTTGAGGCAGTTCCTCTCTTCCTAGTTTGATGAGAATGTTTTTAATCATGAATGTGTGTTGGACTTTGTCAAATGCTTTTTCTGCATCTGATAAGACCGTATGATTTTTCTTCTTTAACCAGTTGATGTGGTGGGTTTCATTGACTGATTTTCAAATGCTGATCCAGCTTTGTGTATTTGGAATAAATCCCACTTTGTTGTGGTATTTAATTCTTTTTTATACATTGCTGGATTTGATTTGTTGATATTTTGTTGAGGATTTTTGCATCTATGTTTGTGAAAGATAATGGTCTATAGTTTTCCTTTCTTGCAATGTCTTTATCTGATTTTGACTTTAGGATAATGCTGGCCTCATAGAATGAATTGGAAAGTGCCCTCTTTGCTTCCATTTCTAAAGGAGAGGGTGGAAGATTGGTATAATTTCCTCCTTAAATGTTTGGTAGGAACCGTCAGTGAAGTCATCTTTCCTGGTTCTTTCATTTCTGGAAAGTTGCTAATTTTAAGTATAGGGCTACTTAGATGATCTGTTTCTCCTTGTGTGAGTTTTGGTAGTTTGCGTCTTTCAAGTAATTAGTCATTTCCATTCTAAGTTATCAAATTTGTGGGCATAAAGCTATCTGTAGTATTCCTTTATTATCCTTTTTAACATCTATGGAATAAGTAGTGATGACTCCCTTTACATAAGTTGTTAGTGATTTGTGTCTTCTTTCTCTTTTTCTTTGTTAGTCTAGCTAGAAGGTTGTCAATTTTATCAGTCTTTTTGGAAGAACCACTTTTGGTTTCTTTTTGTTTTTATGTTTTCCAGTTGTAACACCATGTTTTCACTGTCCTACTTGTCTTGATCCCTGACTTGCTGAGTTCTCCTCTCATCCGTTCAGTGTTTCGCCCTCCATTGTCTCCATTCAGAGCTGAAGGGACACTTAATGACCTGTGGGGTTTGTGTGCTGAATGAGATGTTATAACTGCCCTTCAGTCTCTTCATTGCTATTTCTTTTTGTCATCATTGTTCTCTGTTTGACATAGTTTTGCAAGCACATCATGTCGTACTTTTGTTTGTCTATATTATTCTTCACAGTATTTAATTAAATGACCCCCCCACCTCCCCCAGTGTCACTTATTCCTGTGATACTAGCATTGGTTGATCTGGACAAGAATATCAGAGAAGTTGGTTTCTCTTCCTCAATAGAAAGTTTTGAATCAGATTTTAATGAGAAATCTTAGAAATTACCTGGTATGACCTTCTTACTTTGTAAATGAATTTAGGTCTAGAAAAATGAAATTTCCAAGATCACACAACTGGTTATTATCCCTTGATACTGCATTTTTCCCAGCTCTAATCTAAAAATTCATGACTTCTTTTCCTTTATGGTAATGTTACAATTTTAATATATATAAAACATCAGATTTCTTGGGCAAGATAGTATAAAAATACTTTTTCAGGGATAGTACAGAAAGTTGCTAGAAATAAGTAATAAAATAATTAAAAATGGTTTGATGTTACTGGAATCTGAAATTGAGGCCAGAATAAAAGACATATTTAGTTATCAGAATGTGGCTTTGGAATATTATTTTGAAAAAGATTATGCTAAACTAAATAAGCATTGGAAAGTCAATAAATTTCCAACTTAATCTACTTTTAACATTAACCAAGATGAATGTGATTCCTTTTACTGAACCATCACTTAGAGTATATAGAGTTTATTTTGGCTGTATGCTTTTGTTTCAGACAGAACCAAGTTGTATTATTAGACACACTGGAACAAGAAATTTCAAAATTTAAAGAATGCCATTCTATGTTGGACATTAATGCTTTGGTAAGTATGATTTGGGGGTTTCCCAGGTGGCTCAATGGCAAAGAATCACCTGCCGATGCAGGAGCCACAGGAGATGTGGGTTCAGTCCCTGTGTCGGGAGGATCCATTGGAGGAGGAATTGGCAACCCACTCCAGAATTCTTGCCTGGATAATCCTGTGGCTAGAGGACCTTGATGGGTTACAGTCCATGGGATCGCAAAGAGTCAGCACTTAGTCTCAAGTATGATTTAGTTGACAACAGCTTAGAGACAGCTTAGAGACAACTATTTAGAAATAGTTTTATCTTCCCAATTTTGTACCTATGTATGTTTGAGATTTTTTTTCTCTAATTTTTAAAATTTAGAATGTGTTGTTTAACAGGAAACCTTGATTAACTTTATTAGATCTTCTGTTGTTTTGAATTGTTAACTTTCAAATGTTAAACTTGTGATAGGAAATTGAACTTGTATATGAAAGTCTGGAATAGATCTGCTCATAAGTAAAAACTAATAAAAGTAAACGTAAGGAATTTTGGGGGTGCTGTTTTTCCCCTTAAGGAAGACCATCTCTCTTTATCAAGTACATGGTTTTTAAAATTAGCATTTGTTTCATTGTATGGCATTTTGTAACGCCATAACAAATTAATGCTGAAAGAGACTGTTTGACTGTCCTTGACAGACTCTTTATATCTTTCAATATAAGTGACAACAGTTGAATTTCATCAGAAGGTTTTTAGCTTTTTTTTTTTTTTTTTTGGTTTTTAGCTTTTTGATGAGAGGAACTGATACACTTTATTTTAAGAAATGGAGAATTGACAGAAATAAGGAACTTGTGGCTACTTTTCTCTTTACCCTGAACATTAGAAATAGTGTAGTTTGCATGATTTTGTGGGATTTCATACATATGTCAAAAAATGGACTTTTCATTGGAAAATGTGATGAATTAATGTTTTCCTTTTGTAACAACCAGAAACTAAGTCCACCTTCTCTAGTGTTAGGCAGTGATGTGTGGTCATAAATACAAAGTCTTCTAGTCAGTAGTCCCTGATTTGTGAAGGAAGTGGGCAAAACCCACCAACTTTTGTCTTTCCCACTGAGTTCATATAGCAGCAGAGCATATATTTGTTGAATGAATTAAGGATAAATGAAAGAACCAAGCAGATGTAATGCTCTTGCTTCCATCTGAAGGGGTAGAAACTAAGTCTTTCTCTTTTTCCTTCTCTCAGCCCAAGAGTGGTTTTGTCATGTAAGAATTGATCAATAGAAGGCCAGAGAGAGAAAGAGGGTCTGTAATTTCGCGAGCTCATCAGACTCTGACTTGACTTGTAGCTACAGTAAGGCTGCTAAGCGCACTACTGACACCTTTCATTTTTGTTACCTGATCTTGTCTCTCTGTTAACCTTGCTTCCTGAGAAAGAAGTGCTTTTTTCTTTCTCTCCTATCTCTGGCTGAAATGGAAAGTCTGTACTTACCATTCATTGGGAAGAAAAGCGTCTTTACAGAGATTGTTCTCCTTGGTCTGACTTCAGAAGCCCAAAGAACGTGACCAAACTTGTCCACAGCCTTTGCAGGGCTCCCTGGCCACAGCTTGGTTTTTCCAGATGGGCAGACTCAACTGTCCTGTGTACCCTGCTCGGCCTTTCCCTTGTAGAGGCAGTACAGAATGTTTTACTTTTCTTGAATGAAACTGGTACCATTGTTGGATAGTTTTACTAAAATTTCAGGATTATACTGCATGTTTTTAAGGCAAAATGTTACTTGTACAGAATATAAATGTCATGTTTAGAAACTTTTTTAATCAATCTGAACTGAATCCAGTATTCTCAAAAGCCCTACTAATGGTTTAAATTAAATTTCAACTTTTGGAATTAAAATGTGGAGTTAATTAAAGCTTCAAAAGTTTTGACTAATTTAGGAAGAATGAACTATCACTTAGATATTGGTTTATTTATCCATTTTCATATTTCAGTATAAGCTGACTTTTCATTTTACTTTTCCATCTTAAGTTCACTGAAGCTAAACACTATCATGCCAAGTTGGTGAATATAAGAAAAGAGATGTTGATGCTTCATGAAAAGACATCAAAGTTGAAAGTGAGTTGAAAATTCTTTTACGATCTTTACAGAAGTAGAGGATTGTCTCTTTTTCTTCAGAATTCATTTTCTGACTTTTTATATATTCATATACAATCACATACTTAATTCATGGTACATTAGTTTCTTTTAATACACATTCTTATGAACTCCACTGGGCTTTTCTACTAATAGCTGGGCTAGTGAGCTCACAGTCTCTGAATATGTCACTGTAATTGACATTTAATAGGAGTTTTGAGTAACAAACTTTTTGTATTAAGGAGACTTTAAATTACCCAGAACATTAAAAATTGTGAATAACTATATTGTATACCTATAACTTATATTGTACAGCAACTATTCGTCAATAAAAAAATTGCCCAGGACAAATTTAAAAGTTAAATATGAAATTTATTACTATATAAAAGCACCATTACTTAAATTATTTTTTTAATTTGTAAAGGTTATTTTCCATTATAGTTATTACTGAATATTGGCTACCTTCCCCCTGTTGTACAGCACATCTTTGAGCCTGTCTTACACCCAGTAGTTTGTATCTCCCAGTTGCATCTCCCCATGACCACTAGCACTACTGCTTTTAAACTAGGCCATAACCTATAAGCTTTTTGTTCTCTTGGCTTTTAATTTTCTTTTTTGACTTAGAAAAGAGCACTTAAACTGCAGCAGAAGAGACAAAAAGAAGAGCTGGAAAGGGAGCAGCAACGAGAGAAGGAATTTGAAAGAGAAAAGCAGTTAACTGCCAAACCAGCTAAAAGGACGTGAGCAGTCAGATGTTTGTATCCTTCCTTTTCCTGTTCATGTTCTGGATTTAAGATGATCCGGTGTAGACTTAATGTTAAGGTAGTGCCTTATACCACTATGTTCTGTTTTGAAATCCTTTTCCAGGAGTGCTGTCTATGTCTCTTCATTTCAGCCATACAAGAAGCTTTTTTTCTAAGTAGAAGACATTGTCACCTGGTTTGGATATTTGTATAATTTTTCAACTTTGTTTTGCTTAATTTTTAAATTCATTATTTTGGCCTTAGGTCATTTATAAACTGAAAAATGGTTTGATTGTTTTAATAGTCTAGACTCTTTAAGTGATTAAAATTTATTATGCATTGTTTAGCTTCTTAAAAACTGTGGATTTGAAAGTTTCAGTTTCTTATTTTAGGAAATGATTTGCCTTTCTGACAGTACAATACTAGGTTTTGGCAGTTGCCTTTTCATTGTTTGGTTAAGAAATGCCAACTGTTTAATCACATATGCCACTGGAAAAGAGGTGGTATAAGCCTTTGTGAAGAATGTGATAGAGAAGTATGTACACGGGAAATATTAGCATCTTAGACATAGGATGGGTGAACAAGATGCCATAGAGGTTCCACTGACCATAGACTTTTAGCTGCTTCCTAGCTTTGTTGTTGCTGTTTAGTTCTTACGCAGTTCTTGGGTTCAAAGTAGATTATATCTATTCCTAAAGTTGGGTGAGGGTGGTGTAGCTTGCACACAAATGCACTTAAATATTCATAATTTTTAGTCATCACACTCTGTGAGATACAGTTGTGAAGCTGATAAGATAATGAACTTGACTTCCCAAGTGGGAAGTGTTGCTATTTCCAGCTAGCCTCTGATTTGCTGTGTGGCCTTATGTGTGGTTACTTTTCTGTGCTTTTAAAAAAATTCTTGAAGTAGAGTTATACATGGCAACTATCCATTTTACAGATAATGACAAAAATGGTAGAAAACTAGTAAACAGCTTCTTCACAAAGGTGGCAGCATGATTCCCTTAGTGTTTTCTAGATTCCACCCCCCCCCAGTATTAAATGTAGAAATTTATCATGTGAGGGAAATATTATGAAGTTTCATTATTTTAAATTGAGAGTGTATTATTCACTGTTTTAATATTATTTAATATCCAGCTGATGTCCAGTCTCTGTTACACAGAGGCTGTACAAAGTAGGTTAGGTTACAGATTATGATTAGAATGTTTGTCTCTCATAAACTACATTACATTTGGTGAGCTGGAAGCACTACCTCTGATCACATCCCAGGCTGGGGAAGGCATTTAGATTTATGTTGAGTGCTAAGAACAAGTCTGTTTAAAGATTTTTAAAATTTGTTTGAGCTTTTTCCTTTAGTGAGTGAATTATGATCTCACAGTTCACTTGACTTTGACCTTATGTGTAAGAGTAGAAATATATTTTATTTTTAAAGGCTGTGTGTTACCCTCAAAACACTAGTTAAAACTACTGGGGTGGCAGGATCACGAGGGGTGGCAGGATCTTGAGTACTGGCAGGACAACGTCACCTAAACTCCTGAATGTACTCATTCACAACCTGACAAAATCTGTGCATTGTTTCTTAAGAGTGGTTTGTGGTCCAACTGCAAAGATTATTTGAAATGCTGGTTCTTGGACACCACTCTCAAACTACTGAAGCAAATCTGTTTTTCTTTTCTTTTTTCCTGTTTTTTTAAAAAAGTTTTGTCAAGTGACTCAGATGTACTTTATAAGTTGAGAACCACTGGTCTGGTGATCCAAGTCAGAGTCTTCACTCTAGGCTGCATATTATCACCTGGAAACTAAAAAATGTTTCTGAAAGATTTTTACTCAGTAGTTCTTAGATAGGGCCCATGCACATTTTAAGGACCCTCCTAGATATAAGTCTGATTCAAGGACTGATTCAAATCACTGGTTGAGACTTTGTAGTGATTTAGATTTATAAGGAATAAAATAATGTGAAAGCTACCCAGTAACTCTTGGGATTAATCTTATGCATAAATTCTTAAACTACTGCTTTTGATACAAAGTCAGATTTAAGACTGAAATAAATAGTCAGGAAATAGGTATAGAATTCTGGTAAATTGAATTTTTGTGATCTATTTTAAAACATCATGTTTATTGAATGAATGGCAAGGTACATGTATTTTTAGAAATGTATTTAGATTTTGAAGATTTCTTAAAATGTTGAGAATACGTATTGGCATCCACCATTTTTGAGGCTTCCCAGGTGATGCAGCAGTAAAGAATCTGCTTGCCAGTGCAGGAGACTTTTGTAAGAGACTCGGGTTTGATCCCTGGTTTGGGAAGTTTCCCTGGAAAAGGAAATGGCAACCCACTCTGGTATTTTTGCTTGGAAAAGTCCATGGACAGAGGAGCCTGGTGAGTCCCAGTCCATGGGGTTTTAAAGAGTCTGACACTACTGAGCGACTGAGCACACACCACTATTTTTAGGTCATTTGTAAAACAAGTACTGTTACCTTGGTAATTAAAATCTAAAACTTTAGCTGTATTTCAGTAGCATACACACATATCTTGCTGACTAAAACTGAGCAGAACCCTTAAATTAGTCTTGCTGTTTTTTGTACAAAATAATGAATTGGTACTTGAGTTGAAAAAAATTGACTTGGTATTTTGTTTGAAAAAAACTGCCTTTGTTTTGATTATGTTTGTGTATGTTTCAGTATGTATATCACATACGTACTAAAGTGATGGGAATTAATTTTGTATTTACCTTGCAGGAAATATCATGTAAATATGCAGACGTTGAATGTAGTATGGATTGTGTCCGCAGTGAGCTTTTTGGTGGGTACAGTTTATACATGCCAATTATATACCCTCATATACTTGTCTGATTTTGAGCTTGTAAAAATGAGAACTCGTTTTTACACATTTAATAAAGAAAAAAAAGGTCTGTGAATTATCCAGTATCATCTGTCAAGCACTGGTGTGCACACAGCACTTCACACTTTCCTTTATGCACTTTATTCGTACGTTCTGTTCTTTGCTTTCCTCTCCTGTCATCTGCCTCTTAGTGTTCTCTATAGCTGTGTCACGGAATGACTGGTCTGCTCATGAGATCCTTTTCGAAAAGGTGATGGCAAGTGTTATGAAAAGATTCTAGTTGAATAACCCAACTTTATAAAATTCTTCACTCTTGAGAATAATAGTTATACTTTCAGTGGTTTGGTAAAAAGTGCTTCATGAGGACCATACATAGCCTATGGAAACTCCAACTATAATAGAATATTTTAGGTCAGGTTTTTTGTTTTTTTAAGCTGGTAGTCCTTGGGTCTCTGGAGGAGGGACTTCTGTGAATGGCTTTTGAAAGAGACATGAACACTTATAAATTTCTCAAAGAGATTTGTATATAAGAGTTTCTCAGGATTGAGTCTACAGATTTCATTAGATTCTTTTATAAATAAATTATATACACACACACACACACACACACACATATATATATATAGTTTCCTCTAAAGCAGTGATTTTTAATCATTAACATCCAGACCTCACTGTGCACATATTTTAAAAGTTAGTCTCTAGGCTTTCCTTTTGAAGGAAGACGGTTCCTGTTTTATATATTTGTTCAGAAATCATGCTTGTACAGGTGACTCAGACATTCAAGATTTGTTCTAGTTTAGCTCTGCTAGCATGTATGAGGCCAGGTCCCATCTAGTCTTCAGGTCAACATTTGAGTGAAACTATTCAGTATGTTTGTTTTCAGAGCCACTAAGAGAGTTTAAGGGAGTGGTCAAGGGAGACGGTTCTAATGACCAGTTTAAAAAGCACTTAAAGCAAAAGTTCCAAAGAAATACAGTGTGAAGGCAGGGCAGTCAGAGAAGAGAAGTAAAGTTTGGAGTGGTTGAGTATGGCAGTCGAGTAAGAGGAAAAGAAAGGCTGAGACTGAAATAGAAGGGAACAGTGATGTATACTCTGTGTTCCCTGAAATAAGGGAGGCTTATAGGCATGTGAAGAAGAATAATATTCACCTGTTTTAGGTTAACATCGCCCCCTCCTGTCCCTTCATCTTAAACTGAAGAAAAGGTTGTAGCTAGCTGTTCATTCTGGTGTAGATCATGCATATTCCCAAAGTGCTTCAGGAGGCCTGCAAGGCTCAAATCTGGGTAAGTGTGCATAGGTGCTGCTCACCCATTCCAGGTTTGACTTTTATTAGGACTTTGAAAAGGAGAGTCAAAAGGCATATTGAACTAGGTACAAGGGAGTAAAAATAAAATCTTAAAATCTGCTGATTTATATTTTAGTCTCATCTAGAAAATACCTTCACAGCAACATCTAGACTGGTATTTGTCCAAATAACTATATAACATGGTCTAGCCAAGTTACCGGGGCTTTCCTGGTGGCTCAGATGGTAAAGCATCTGCCTGCAATGTGAGAGACCCGGGTTCGATCCCTGGGTTGGGAAGATCCCCTGGAGAAGGAAATGGCAACCCACTCTAGTACCCTTGCCTGGAAAATCTCATGGACAGAGGAGCCTGGTAGGCTACAGTCCATGGGGTTGCAAAGAGTCAGACATGACTGAGCCAAGTTACCACGTAAAATTAGCCATCACAGTTGAGACTGAATTGAATATAATAGAGATAAACAGATATTTAAAATGGCTATAATAAAAACCTGTATTATGTAAATGCAAAATAGGGAATATTAAAAAGATTAAGTTCCTGAAATTGTAACATGGCTTAGGAGCTGGTAATCCTTGGATAATCCAAGCCATTGCTTCTATTCCTGATTACATACTCAATTAAATTTAAAAAGGTAGGCAGTCCCAAGATCTTGGAATAAAATGAGCTCAGAGATAATGTGTGTACTGGACTGTAGAAGAATAGATGCCACATCTATTGTAGCTTTATTCCTTCTGTATTAACTAGGGCTCTGTTCAGTTTTCTCAAAAATGGCTTCAAGGAAGAGGTGAATAGTTTTCTTAGAAAAGACTCAACAGATGAACACACCTTAGACTTAAAACCTGATGAAACACAGAAGGGA